TAAATAAATTAGAGTAATTAAAAAAATTAATTTTACTTTTTTCCTCTTCACTTAATGATTTAATGTAGTTTCTAGAAATTTTTAAACCGGGAGAGGAGAAGGATCCGGCTTCCACGTCTGCAATTGGGTCTCACGGCTGAGGGCCAGGGAACAGTAGGTAAAAAGGGTCTTTCACTCGCCCTCTCAACTCAAAGATCTACCTCCCAGCACGCGTGTCCTGCCAGACCTCAGCACAAGGGCCTAGATGAGAAGTCCATCCATCCCTCTATTGGGAGCTCTGGTGGCCTAGTGGTGAGGAACTGCACTGCAATCCCAAAGGCACGTGGTTCAAATCTCCCAGCTGCTCTGTGGGAGGATGGACAGTCTCTTCCCATGCAATTCATTGGCTCTGAAAATCTGCTGGAGGCTCAGCTAAGCTGCGTTGGCACATGGCAACATCCCTCTATTCAATAACAGCTAGTCTACTGAATGCTTTTGAGATGTTGGCCAAAAGCGTTAGATCTGCCATGGACAGAACAAAGCGGTCTGTCCTGGAGGAGGTGCGACCACAGTGCTCCTTAGAGGCACAGATGGTGAAGCTCTGTCTCCCATGCTTTGGACGTGCTGTCGAGAGGGACCAGTCATTGGAAGGAGGTATCATGTTGGAAAGGCCGGGCATCGGCAAAACAGAAGACCCTCGATGAGAAGGATTGACAGTAACGAGGGGCTCAGGCACCCCGGAGACGGTGCGGGGGGCACGGGCAGGGCCAGATTCAGATCTGTTGCTCAGAGGGTTGCTGCAAGCTGTGGTCAACCCAATGGTGCACACCAACAGTGATTCCCTCCCTTGAAAAGAGGTGTAAGTGACAGACTGCAGACCCTTCTCGAGCAAAACAGGGGTCTGGATCTGCCTGAGCTCCCCAGGGCCAGCCCAAAGCCCTGTCCAGGTCTGTCTCCTTTGCTGGTCCAGGGCCCCAAGCAGACCTCAGCGAATGACAGGCCCGTATGAAGACAAAAGAAAACTCCCAAAACACCCCCCAGGGATTCCAGGGTTTTTCCACACCAGGAACCTCTGTCCGCATCCAAGGAGGACACATGCTGGGAAGTCACCCAGCATCCTGTGGTCTGAGCCACAGCCGTGACAGGGACTCTAAGGGGGACAGAATCAGCCCCATCTTCACACTGTCTTCTATGACAGCTGGGCTACACGGAGGGCAGGTGAAGCCCTCAAGCCCAGCCCAGGGGGCACCCTCAGAGAGGCCTGGGAGCAGGGTACAGGGGCACAGACCCTGAAAGGCAGAAGCTGAGACCAGCACCTGGCCAACAGAGGCCTAGCTCCAGCCTCCCTGGACAAGCCTGGCATGCTAGGGGACTGGGTAGCAGTTCCACTGGTGCCGTTGGGACTGGTGGCCAGTGGGAGGAAACAGAGAGGGGTGAGCTGGTCCTGGAGGGCTTTGAAGGCTGCCCACAGAGACTGCCCACAGAGGCTGTTATTCCTTCACAGGGTAACTGAGGCTTTTTAACCAAAGCAATGGGAACGAGTGAGTTCTGACTTTTTCCTAAATGGGGCACCTGGTAGGAAGACTCATCGGCCTGTCCCGGGGTCAGAATGAGCCGGGAGCCACTACCCTGACATTAGCTGCACCTTGGGCAGCTCTGGTAAATGGTCCATGCAGCTGTGCAGAGAGGGAGGCCCAGACCAGGCAGGATGGCCAGACTCCTTGAATAGACTTGTGAATGAATGAATGAATGAATGGATGGATGTTAGTCAACAGCCGTAGCCCACTCCTAATAGCATCTACTGAGTGCATTAGACTAGTCTGCGCCGGATAGTCTGTTTAATCCGCTCAGTTCTGGCTCAGAGCCCCTTTGAGGTGTGCACAAGCCTAGCAAATATGTGTCAGTGGGACAGCTACAGGCGGACCGCAGCGAAACGTAGGGCAAGCCGCAGGCTGGGGGCAGAATGCAGGCCCTGAGGGGGAGAAATCTGGCTCAGCATCCTGAAATCTACCCCTACAAAAGCCCCTCCACTCCTCCCCTGGGTCCCCCCAGCAAGCCCGCCCCTCTGGCTCCAGCCTCGCTCTATCCTGGATTTAATAAAGACACAAGCCCACTGCGGTTTTCAAGTCTGAAAACTGGTTCCTGCCCACGTCACTGCGAGAGGAATGGGGCCCAGCGCCTCCCCAGACCCCTTCCCGCCTCTCCCCTGCAAGGGAGCAGCCACAGAGAAGCAAACCCAGACTCCCCTTCACCTCAGTAGAAGTCCCCCAACCTGGAACCTCAAACCCCAACCCTGAGTGTCACCTGTCCCCATGTGTCCCCAGCCAGGCTGGCTCAGTCCTTCATAATCTCTATCTGCTACCACAAAGCACCTGTGAGAAGCACACGCTGCACAGGAGCCCTGGTGGCGTAGAGTGTAACATGTCAGGTTGCTAACTGGAAGGTCGGGGGTTTGAGTCCACCAGTCACCCCCCTCCCCCGGAGAATGATGGGTAATCTGTTCCTGTGACGATTTACAGCCTCGCAGGGTTTATGTGAGTTAGAATTGATTCAGTGGTAGTGTGCCTGGTTTGGAATTAAGTAAAAGTTGCGCACAACTGTGAGAGAGTTCTGGAACACACCTCTTCACCCCAATTACAAAATCTGGAGCCTCTACCACTTGGGAGCAGAGTCGGGGCCGCAGGGCAGCCGACCACAGAGCCAGGAGGAATAGGTGTGCCGAAGTCCCCAGTGCTACACATGGGATGACTGGTGACAGCAGCCACTCCTGGCCCAGCCGTCCAGCCCAGCAGAGCAGATTTGACCTGACAGGCAGGGAGCCGTTCTCTAAGCCTGCGCTGCATTTATCATGCGTCTAATTCCCTAGATGAGGATCATGTTCCCCCTCTGACAGACGAGGAAACTGAAGCTCTGTGGAGAGGTTACCCAGCTAGAAGAGGCTGGACAGGCAGGATGCAGTCACAGGTCCCCTGGTCTCTGAGCTCTGCACTCTGCCCCCCACCCTGAGAACACGCCCCATGCCCACCATCTTCCAACTCAGAGCATTTCCAGGGTCCGCGGAGCAAGTTCCTCCTTTGGTCTCTACTGGGTACAGAGAGAAACACACGGTCTGTGGCCTCTGGGAGCGCTGGTGGGCTGTAACCCAGGGCAGGTGCCAGCATCCTCTCCTTCCCACTGACTTCCACATTTGGGCACCAACACCTCCCTCTCCCCCAAACAGGCCCAGGTCCTCATCCAGCACAGACAGGAGGGAATGAAAGGGCACCCGGAGTCCTGGAAATGCCAAGCCCAGCTGTTTCAGCTCATGGTCGCCCCCTCCTGGCCACCAGAGGAATATTTGCCCAGGCATCGCCAGAGGGGCAGGGCGAGCCAGCAGGGGCTCCCAGGTCTATTGGGGTGCCAGTGGTGTCCAGGGTTGGAATAGTGGCAGTCAAGTGATTAAGAAGGTGCTTGTTCCCCTAGCAACCTGTATGGAGCTCCCCAAAACCTCACGCCTCCTGCAGGTCCTCTAGGGGTCCAGCTGATTTCAGCAGACCCTGCCACCCACCAGGGACTAGATGTAGCTGAAACCTTTCTCCACTCAGAATGTATGGGTCCCCTGCAGTGGGACTCCCACTGGTGCACCAGGGAACAACACCAACATGGCCTGACCTCCCAGGTAGTTCCCCTGCCTGCAGCCCCCTACTCTGGACTCTGCAGACCCTAACTCAGATCTGCCCAACACCCTCTCCCCAATTTTCAGATGGCCTGTCTCTGTCCAGACCCAGGGGTGTTGGGGAGTCTGGCAGGCCGAGGCAGGGGCAGAGGCTCGGGACAGCTGGCCTGTGTCCCCACACTGGGCCTGGGGCCCAGCCAGAGGGGCGGGGGCCTGGCCACTCGGGCCCTGGCTGGGGCTGGGATTTTTGGCCGGGCTGAGGGCCCTCCCTCCTGCTTCCTCTCCCGAGGGCTGTCCTGGCAGAGGCCCCCTCGCACTTTCTGGCGGGAACAGGGCCAGCAGCGCGAGAACAGCCACAGAGGGAGTGAGGGAGAGCAATGGGGAGGGCTGTGTGAGTGTGTGTGTGTGTGTGTGTGTGTGTGTGTGTGT